GTCTCAGTGTTGCACACTGGGTTTTCCATACCCAAATTTTTAGTGCCAGTGATTCAAATATAAAGTTCCTTTAGTTATTTTAACAAAGTGCTGTATTTGGAATATCAGAATTGATTCAAGGAGGACACAGTATCTTACAAACAGAACATAATTTAAAATAGCATGTTCAGGAAAAGGGCATGTTGGAGAGTATTGCCTGGGTATTGATTCATGTGCTTGTGAAGAACAAAGTTTATACACACTAAGGTTCTCAAATGATTTTGCTCTTTAATCCTAAAACAGGTACATTTCTCCTACATAATAGCTTTATCCCCTAGGCATGTACAACTATTGTAACTATTTAAGGAATTTCAAATAAAACAAAAATGATAAAGTCAATGGGAAAAAATAACTCTTCTATTGATTATGGCAGTGTTTGGTTTTTTAACTTCAAGAAAGGTATTCTGGGAGCTGGCACTGTGGTATAGTAGATTAAGCCTCTGGCTGGCATTGGCATTCTATATGGCACTGGTTTGTGTCTCGGCTCTTCCTCTTCTGATCCAACTCCTGTTAATGGCCTGGGAAAGCAGTGGAAGATGGCCCAAGTCCTTGGGCCCCTGCACCCTTGTGGGAGACCCGGAAGAAGCTCCTGGCTTCGGATTGGCCCAGCTCCCGTTGTGGCCATTTGGGGAGTAAACCAGTGGGTGGAAGAGCCTTCTCTCTGTTTCTCCCTCTGTAACTCTGCCTCTCAAATAAATGAATAAAATTTTAAAAAAGAAAGATATTCTGGGGATCTGTCAAATTCACACTTTCAGTCACCTGATGAGATAGTGAAGGGTCAAATGTAGGGTTTCATTGATTTTTTTCCAGGAACCAAAACTTTTGATAAAGAACTATAATGGCAATTATTAGGCGACACAGTATATAGTGGTGAAATGCTGCAAAATGAAACTTACTTGAATGTTGTTAGATTCAAGCCCAGGGCTGAGCAGTTCTGGATAACCAAAGACAAATTCATCTATCCCTGCCCCCTCTGTTAAATTGTACATTGCCATGCATTTGTTCCCTGTCTTGTTAAATAAATACAGAAAACAAATTAGAGAGAGGACTGCAAATTTCTGAGAATTTAATTATATCCTTAAATTGCAGTATCAATTATATATATAATATATATATAGAGTTTGACTTCTGTAAGGAGTAATTATCTGAGCTAACTTCATTTTACGATGCTTAATTTATTTTGTACTAAGGAAAGCTTTCAAGTATGGAAAAGAAACCAGCTTAATTTTAATTTTGATTTTTTTTTTAACTTGCTCTAACACGTTTCAATTCATTAGTGTTTCAGTAACAAGGAATGAACTCTCTTGTCTTGACAAACCAAGCATGGAAATTTCCTCATAAGAGAAAAAAAGAAATTAAAATGATTTCCATGTTCAAGTCCCAGCATGCTCATACAGCATATTTGGCCCTTAGGAGAGTCACTTGTTGCCTCAAAAGGAGAGCCACTCACTCTAATGTGGTGGAAATATTACAGCAGTGCCTGCCAAGAAGGAATTCAAGGAAACTGGGAATAGCAACACTGTGATCCCAGGCCATTCTCTTGGGCACAGGGATTTCCTCCCCTTATGTGGGCTGCCCTCTCAAGTTCTTTTTGAAATCAAAGACCACTGATACGCACAACAATCCATGCTAAAATCCAAACTTGACACCAAAAGCAAACAGTTACACTGTGATCCCATTGTTTTTCTCTAAGATAGATTTTGAGATTTTTCATTTAGGGATAAGCTGTATTTGCCATAAATCAAAATACAGAGGTGTTTTGTGACTCCTGCCTTTGAGAAAATGAGGTACACTTCCCCTACTTTCTTAGTATGGAAATAAGTGAACAACAACTCTCCACTCCCCCAGTGTCTGCTTCTCTGCATTTGACGATTCACATGCATCTCTGGATGGCAGTTGACCTCCAGTGGCAAAGAAAAGAAAGAAATGTGTAAGAAGAGTCACACAGATTACCCCATACAGTTCTCTATAGACATTAAATTAAAAAGACCCTGACATTGACCTATTAAAATGTCATTTGAAAGCATATAAAGGTGGCTTAGAATGCATGACACTCAGAAAGTTAGGAAGCTCAAAGTGATTACCTGAATCACATTAATATCTTCAAGCATCAAAGTCACAGTGATTTTAATATGAATCTAATTTTGGGTATTAAGTGGTTGAAGAACTTGTTCTTTAAAAATAAACAAACAAACAAATAAAGGGGCTGGTGTTATGGTATAGCGGGTAAAGCTGCCACCTGCAGTGCTGGCATCCATATGGGTGCTGGTTCTAGTCCTGGCTGCCCCACTTCCGATCCAGCTCTCTGCTCTGGTCTGGGAAAGCAGTAGAAGATGGCCCAAGTCTTTGTGGGAGACATGGACAGGGCTCCTTGCTCCTGGCTTCAGATCGGCATAGCTCTGGCCATTGCAGCCAGTTGGGGAGTGAACCAGCAGATGGAAGACCTCTATCTCTCTGCCTCTCCTCTCTCTGTGTAACTCTGCCTTTCAAATAAATAAATAAATCTTTAAAAAAAAAGAACTTGTTCATTTTGGCTAAGAATACTGACAGGATCTCAGACGAAGATGCTGAATTAAGAATATCAAAATAAACACCATTCTCAACAGTAGAGAAGTTTTCATATTCTACCTATTAAGCAACAAGAACAAAACACTTTAGCATCCACCTTCCCCTCTATACTTTCTAATATCCAAAGAATCACACATCTACTCAAGTGGCAAGAGATCTAGGGGTGTTTCAGACATGTGCAAGGAAAATGCTTCAAGTCAAAACTCCTCAAACACATGCCATTGGGTGGGAGCTATTCCCTCTGTCAATCCTGTTAAAATCCCTTGTACAAGGCGGCTGTGAGAAAGACCACATCTATTTACAGCCAAAGATGCTATTTTTCCCCTTAGATCACAGTAACTGTCATTTCCCCAAATATAATAAACTCTACAGCCAGACCTTTCTGAAAAAGAAAAATCATTAACCACCAAGCCCAGGTTAGCTAAAGAGATAACAACTTTTCAGTAAGAACTTTCTCTGCTGGCTCCAGGTCCCTCGTCCTGGAGCTGGCAGCAGCCATTGTTCCAGGGTGGTCATTTTTTTATTCTAGGCCCTTTTCCAGGGAGCTATTTCTTGGCCTATGATTTGGGCTAGTAGGAGAATTCACATGTGCCTTGTTTATAAACCACTGTGATAACTGTTTCTGTTTAAGAAGATTCAGAGACACACTGTGGTCTTGTCTTCAGTAAAGAACTCATCTAGAACAGTGGGTCCAGGATGGGACACAGAACCTGATGTTCTGCCACACCCTCAGGTTTCCGTTCTGTGCAGTCACACCTACTGCCGCAGAATCAGCTCGACTGATGTTGCTGCTGTTGGCTCTTTCCTCACCTACAGGATCCTTCGACCAGAATCATTTGGGAGCAGCAAAATAGCTGCAGGGGGAGGAAAGGTCTCTGGGGGGCAGGGCTATGCTTCTGGTGGGAGTGGTGGGGCAGGGACCACAGGAAAGTGATAGGTTTTCCAGCAGGGTTTAGAAAACCAAATAGTTTCTATATCCCTGGCTAGGCTTGGTGGACCAAACTTCAAGGCTCAAAAAATTGTTCCATGAAATATGGCTGCCTCTGAATGAACCTCACCGTATCATACAAGAGGGGAGAGCACACATGGGGAGGGACAGAATAAGAAACCACCGATTCATCTCAAGCATGACCCTTCACAGTACTTGTTCCCGTGTTCTTTTCTTTGATTGGGCCTCTCCTGGGTTCATTTTTCTGCCAATTTCCACACTTTGAGCAATAGAATTGATTTTTCCTTATTATTTAGGGGAGGTGTTATTTCAAAGAACTACCTGATAATAAGAAAAAAAACATATTGGATGAGTGACCTTTGAATATAGTTTCTTCTTGTTTTAGGATGAAACTGTTCATCTTTAGTAGGTGTTCATCCGAAATAAGTCGTGGCTGTGACTCACTGCCACAGACATTTGAGCGAGCCCACTGCAGAAAGAAGGCAAGTCTCCTGTATTGAAATGAAACTGCCTGTGAAGCCTTCCAAATGGGAAACTAAAGTCTGGACACTGAGTGTCCCCTGGGCTCAGGTCCATCCTGAACCTAGTCCTTGGAGGTGGAGGCAAGAAAAGGGGCAGGGACATGCCTGAGCTGTAATCAAGAGCACGCCAGTCCATGTCTTCCCCTAGTGCTGGAATGAATGATTTATCAACTTTCAAAACGGCAAGGTAAGCACTCGCTGGGTACTGTGGCTGCCACACTGCAGAATCTGGGGCCAGAGTGACTCACACACTGGACTCAGGTGTTTGTTTGACAAGTATGAGGGCGTCCGAGGGTAGATGTGGTCCCAGACGAGGGGATGCAGGCCATGGTGGTCAGGCCAGAGGAAATACACACCAAAGAGTCTCCAGTTAGTCTAGTGGTCCTCTCACCTCAGCATACTTCCGGATCAGGCGGAGCTCCTCGGTCAGCAGGTCTGGGGTGGGGCCATACCTCCCGACGGTGATGCTGACCCCAGGACCATGAATTTAGACTGGCAGCCTGTTCCTTCACTGGCAGCCCCCTTCCTGCCTCTGCCCGCGCCCTCCCCCCACCCCTTGCCAGGCTGAGGAGCAGCAGGAGGGAAGCACTCAGAGAATTGAACAGCAGCCCTGTGGCCCCATCTGTATGTTGCGCCCTCACGTGGTCTGCCGAGGAGGCACGACTGGGTACTTCAGGAGGAGCGTGCATGGATGGGCTTGTCCCTGACAAAGCAGGTGATTTGGTATCATCACAGTCATTTTTTGAAGATAGTGAGAGGTAGGAAGAGAAAGTTGTGATGCTGTGAAAATGGGCCAGGTGCCTCCTGGAGGTGACTGCTTGAAACAAACTTTTACAGAGACAGGACTATACTCTAGTTCAATGAATCATTCTAATCAATTCCTTTAGAATCCCAGCGTCTACACCCACGGCTGTCCTGTCACAGGTTTGGCTGCTATATGCTTAACTATAATTTTGCAAAACTTTGCAAGTTCTTCCTTTTCTTGGTTGGGCTGCCCTGCATCATAGATAATCTTTCGGTGTTTGTGGCTGAGCCCATCTGCTGTGCCTGCCCTGGGTTATTTTTCATAAGATGTCTGGAGGAAAGATTTTCCAAAACATTTAAGTCTTCCTTAGACATGGTTTTTGCTAAATCTTGTTTCAAAAGGAACCCCGGATCTGACAGCTCTAAAGTTGGCAACACATTGACAGCTTCCTTCCCCCACCCCACCCCCCCATCCCCACTATTATTTCTCTGGGGACTAATCGATCATTTCCAAGAGAAACTCTCTTGTGGTGGTCAAAGTTGTCCTCAGAGTCACAGTTCCTGCACTTCTGTTGTGTTTTGGCAGCTTGTGGACTTTGTTTTGGACCTGGTGGTGCTGACTCACAGCTACAGACGGGGCTCCTGCTTCGAAGCCCTGTCTTCAACAGTTCCCCAGGATGAGGTTTTTGCTGGCTGCTAGTGTCTTCTGGCTGGCTCTGAGGAACATTTTCCAGCTTTTGAACAGGAAGCCCCCAGTGGCGCTCAGCTGCCTTTATGTAATCCTTAGCTTGTCCCGTGGATTCTGATGGAGAACTGGATGAGGCCTGTCATCCTTGCTACCTCTACCATCGCTGAGTTACTGGATGGTCCCACAATGTGCCTGCTGGTCTGTGATTTGTTCACAGTGCTGCATTTTGTTTCAGTTCTTTTCGAACTAAAACAACAGACAAACATGCGATGGCATGCTTTTCTCTAAATTCCTTGCACCCCATTGCTCTACACCTGAAAAAGGAGGCACGTGCTACCTGCCTTCTCCTTGCCTCCTCTGCACATCTGGAAAAATCTCCAAGTGTCTCTTTAAATGCAGACTGGATCAAGCACATAATCCATTATATGTAGACACACTTTGCTTATAGATCTCTGGTTATCAATGGAGTTGTGTTGGAATTCAGATTTTCACCAAGGCAAATTTAGGCATTCCTTTCTGATGTTAAGGGCCAATATTGACTATGTTTGATACATTAATTTTTTTAAAGATTTATTTTATTTATTTGAAAGACAGAGTTACAGAGAGAGGTAGAGACAGAGAGAGGGGTCCTCCATCTGCTGGTTCACTCCCCAGATGGCCGCAACGGCCGGAGCTGCGCCGGTCCGAAGCCAGGAGCTTCCTCTGGGTCTCCCACATGGGTACAGGGCCTCAAGGACTTGGGCCATCCTCCACTGCTTTCCTAGGCCATAGCAGAGAGCTGGATCGAAAGAGGAGCAGCTGGGACCAGAACTGGCACCCATATGGGATGCCAGCACCTCAGGCCAGGGCTTTAACCCACCGTGCCACAGCGCTGGCCCCAATACATTGATTTTTATCCATGAACAGTTACTCAAATACATCCAATGATCATCTCTCTCTCTCTATATATATATATATACACATAAATATGCATACATGCACACACATTTTCTATTTGTGAGTAGTAAAGAATAATCTTCAGGAACTTCTCTCGGGCTGTTTCAAGATATTATTCAAATACAACAACCATTTAAAGCTGGTGTCAAACTTGTTCATCGACCTGAAGGAAGCAGGGCTTAGCTAATAGAACTCGAAGTGTCTCGGAAGAAACTTTTGATCGTCAGCATGAAAGAAAAGAAAGTAGAATCATGGAAGACATGCCAGTGATGGATTTATAAATCTCTTTTCTCCAACATACGCAACAGGCAATGTGAACTTCACTTGATTACAAAATTAACTCTTAGGGAGAACATAGAGACTAAAGAATCTAAGGTTACAATATATGAAGGTATTTCAAAAAATTCATGGAACACTGGAATAAAAAATTAAGTTTAATTTGGTGTAAAAAGTTTTGGAATGCACGTATATCAGGGGTCTCCCGAAAGATCATGGAAAAATGCACAGTATGAAAAAAGTACACACGGATTTCAATGTTTTCAGTTTTTTGCACTAAAAGAAGTTTATCTTTTAATCTCATCTTTCCACAAACTTTCTGAAGTACCTTGTATTTTCAGGGTTGCTAATGGCCAGAACTTCCTTCAATCACCAAACTCAAAACACTGAAGCTGAAATACTTATTTTGGGTAATCGTTAGTGTAGAAATAAATGAATGTGAGTATAGATACATGTGCTTTCTGTTGCTATCAGGGGCGCAAGGATTATGATAATTATATTAGACTTAGAACAAGCATCTTAGGAAAGGAATGCAAGTTTTAGCTCTGTCTGCAGTCACTCTGAAAGTTGCATGAAACACACCACCAACAGGTGCTTTTTATCTTCAAAGAGCTTGTAATTAATTACTCCTTGCAACACACCTGTGGAGTAAGGACTCTATCCCCAATGCCCAGCAAGCAGAGAGAGTCAGGAGGGTGGGAAGAGTGAGAATGGGACTAAGGGCAGGCTTGGTGCCAGAGGGGATTTTGTGATTAGGTTCCAGGCAGTCCTGTTTAATTCTAGACTTCGTGTTATCTATCCACACACAGAGGCAGTTGAAAATGGGAAAAAGGAAACACATTGGGCCTACATTTCTTTCAGAGCATTTCTCTTGAGCTTTGCACTGGGAGGAAGTGGATTCTCTGCACACTCAGCAAAATAATCAGACACTCTGTGGAGAGCTCTTTCTGTCTACTCCAAAAGATAACAAAGGCTCAATCAGAAATCTATGAGCTGAATATGAGAGAAAACAGTTACACTCTGAATGCCCCCACGACTAGATTTATTTTTGGAAAGACTAAATGAAACTGCTTAGTGTTAAGCCATTTAACCTTTTTTTATCCAGGACTTTTTGACACACTGTAGCTTTGTCTGGACTGCTCAGTCCACACATCTCATACATGAGCATGCACCACACACTTACTAGACTGTAATGTAAAAGATGCCGATTCCAAACCATCTGGGAGCTCCTGGCTGACAGCTGACATTTCTTTGCCCCAAATCTGACAAATGCCCTGAATCACTGTGCCAGGCAGCAGCATATTTATAAACTTTGCTCTTCCAACAAGGCTTGATGGCACAATGGCCCACCCCCTGATTTTCCTAATGTTTCCCTACATTTTCTCTACCAACAAAAACGGGGAATAGGGCCTTTGCAACACTCAAGACTACATCAAGTGTTAAAACTTTTAATATTGCTGTTTTGAAAACTGGAGGCTGTGATTCTTGTCTACCAAGACAAACTGACAGGTTTTTTTTTTCTTATACTAATCACTACCGTAGCTTTATATAATTCATAGATTATCTGCCTATCTATTATGGTCCCATAAAAATACCATAAGGAAGTAATTATAAAAAATAAAAGCCTGCCAACATTGATCCAATACTGTGGGATCCTTTCCTCTCAGTTGGCAGGTAGAAAACTCAGACAAGGTATTACCTGCTCTCATTTTTGGGGACACTAAGAAGTCTTTCCCACCAACTTCCATTAAGAAGTTGCTAACACTAGGAACAGTTTGGGTAAGTTATCAGTAGGTCCCTACTTTAAGCTTACAATGGAATTCGCAGCTACACTCCCTGGTAGAAGGCAGCCAGTAGTTTTATGCCTGGTTATTTCCCAGACCAATGTGGTGAGTGTCAGCTATTACGCTCTGCACCAGAGTGGGATGAGCCTTCAGCTGTCTCACTGTCCTCAGACAGCAGAAAATGTCAAAGTCCTACCCAGTTATAACCCAACTCCGCTCTAAGAGTCAGTAAATAGATTATACTGTTTTATTGGATTATACTGCATGTTGATGCTTCTCCCTTTCGTTTTGCTTCCTAACATGTACTAGTTGACCAAAAAGAGTGAGAGTTTAAAAGTTAAATATGAGAGATATTGAGAGCAATGGAGATTTATGTGTGAAACACTTCTAAACATGCCCTGTAAGTACAGTAGATTTTCCCCTTACAACCACACCCTGTAAGTGCTGTATTTTCAGAGCTGAACAATTAACATAAGGAGCATGAGTCAGGCTTTGAACAACTCTGTGGGAACCAGAAAGCCTTTTGCTATTAGGAATGATGTAAATTCCCCAAGGCTGGAAGAAGTCCACAATGGAAGGCAGACAGGGTCATAAATAACAACAATGGATTCTGCACACACCACACAAAGTATGGTGCCGTGACAGTGACACTCACTTCAAATCTCAGATCGGATTGAATCACTGTCTTTATTTATTTATTTATAAAACTCAGTTTAAAGACCTCTATGTATTTCCTTTGGGAACTTCAAAAACTTCTTTAAGAAGAAACAGAGCTGCCAGTCGGCTCTCATCCCAAATCCCACTGACCACAGTGGGGGAAAATGTCCTTGTAAGAAAAGGGACAACAGAAAAGGTGACGGCGTGACAGAAGGAAATGTCCAGTTCAAAAAGTCTAAAACCTGTGACTTAGCTTTAAGGGGAAAAAAAGGAAAAGGAAAAGAAAAAAGAAAGAACAGAAAGGCAAGGCGGGTCTCCTGCTTACAAATTAAAACCACATTTTGCAATTTGTTGAAGGAGGCATATTTACATTGGTATAAAGACTGGGTGGGCAGGGGAAAAAAAAAGATTAGCCTCCTTCTTCAGCCCTTGAACTGCCAGGTTTCATTAGAAATCTCTTTTTCTTACGTTTCTAGGGTCAGTTCACTTCCCTTTGTCACTAAATCATAGCTTCCAATCTGCCACCCTCCCTCCCCCGCAACAAGTAACACCGAGGAAGCAGCTATCACCTGGAAACAGAATTTCCCAGTGGGAGTTATCCTGATTACTAATGGTTTCTCACATCTGGCATCAAAATGCAATCTGCAGCTTTTCCCGAGGCTCAGCTCCAAGGTGCAGATAGACAGTGTGTGCAGAGGAGGCTGCAAGTGTCTCCCGGGCTTACACGTGACTCTACCAACATTTTAGACTCTGCAGTTAATAATGACCCAGTCATCTTCTGCAAAGAATAGAAGTCCAGCATACTCAAAGGAGCTACGGACTGGCCATCCAAAGTCTAGAGTCAGCGCCCCATGGGATTCAGGTATTTAAGAAATGGATTAATCAAGAGCATCTCCGGGGAGCTTCACAACCTGGAAGCCGGCCCTTAGTCTGCAAGTATCATTCCTTGGTATACTCCACCTTGCCACCTGCTTCATCCCTGCCCTACCCCTATTTTAATTTTTCATAGTATTTTAAGCATTTCAAAATTAAACCTTCTACCTATGAAGAGTGTCAATATGCAGTTCTAGGGCAAAATCTAACAGAAATAGGGCCCTAAAAGTCTACTCAACTTCCACTGGCAACTTGAACAGCCCTGGAGCAAGGTGTTAGGTCTTTCCTCCATCCCTGGGAATGCTCTGGGGACCAAGGAATGCGCCCCAGCCTTGAAGACAGTCCAAGCACATGTGCTCCAGTACAGATCCAAGGAGAAGGTGGGGGAGTGTTTGGGTATTTGCTGGGTGATGATAACCCCAGATCTATCTGGTCTGACCTGGTAAACACATTTTAAATGTTACACAGAATGGAATACAAAGAATCCCCACTAGAATAAACTGAGCACTCTTGACTGTATTCAGAGAATGGGTTGGTTTGAAATGCAGTTAGAAACAATGGCTGATGCTCAAGTCAAGTGGATAAACCGAGGAGCTCATTCCAAGATGACTTACTGAAGAACATTTTTGAATAGAACATTGTTGGATTAATGGGGACTGGGGAGAGAACTTGGCTTAAAACAACATAAAGAACACCTACTCTTGGGTTTACAATCTCCTCTCAAGGAGTCTGTAAAACAGAGTCAGGCTTCCAAAGGCCAGTGGGAAGACTGGCTGCATCAGGGGTGCTATGGGAGCTTTTTAAAAATATAGATTCCCAGGCCCCGTGCCTGGAAGTTCTGATTCACAAGATCCGGGGTGCGGCTCGGAGAGCTATATTTAGGTTCCCAGGTGATTCGAATACTACTGATATATAAGAACAACACTTGACAAGGCAGAGCAATGGATAAAGAAATGCACACTGGTACAATGAGATGGCATTTTGCAAAGTGGGGTCCAGTTATCCCAGACATCAAATCACCTGGGGAGTTTGTTAAAATGCTTTCCAGATTCTACCCAAGAATTTTGATCTCTAGGGGTTGTGATCCCCAGTATAACTAAGGACCTTTCATTTCTTTTATTTCTTTTTAAGTTTTTTTTTTTTTTTTTTTTTTTTTTTGACAGGCAGAGTGGACAGTGAGAGACAGAGACAGAGACAAAGGTCTTCCTTTACCGTTGGTTCACCCTCCAATGGCCACTGCGGCCGGCACACCCACTGATCCGAAGCCAGGAGCTAGGTGCTTCTCCTAGTCTCCCACGTGGGTGCAGGGGCCCAAGCACTTGGGCCATCCTCCACTGCCTTCCCGGGCCACAGCAGAGAGCTGGCCTGGAAGAGGAGCAACTGGGACAGAATCCGGCGCCCTGACCAGGACTAGAACCTGGGGTACTGGTGCTGCAGGCAGAGGATTAGCCTAGTGAGCCTCGGCGCCGGCCAGGACCCTCCATTTCAAAGGCACCTGGAATTGATGAGGAAGCAGAATAATGCAACTAGGCAAACCTGTACTCTGCACCCCGCACTGCTTGAGGTCGCTGGAGGAAAGGACGGGGACCCACAGACAAAAGACCTGGACTTCCTGCAGCCTCCATCTCCAGAGGGAAGACAAAAAAACATCTGAAGTCAGGTGGTGATGATGCCATGAGGAGAAACAAATGTCTAAGATCATGGGTGCTATTTCCTTATTCATCTGAAAGAGATGGAGAGAGAACACTCCCATCTGAGGGTTCACTCCTCTAATGCCTGCACCAGCTGGGCCTGGGGCAGGCCGAAACCAGGAACTTGGAACCCAAACCTGATCTCCCACATGAGCAGGACTCAGACAACTTGAGCCATCAACGCTGCCTCCCAGGGTACACATTAGCAGGAAGCTGGAATTGGGGGCGGTGCCAGGTCTATTAAGACCAGGCAGTCTGATGTAAGATCCAGGTGTCCCAAGCAATGTCTTAACCACTGAGCCAAAGGCTCACACCCTAGGTACTAGTTAGATATAGTGTTCAGGGAAGGCTGTGGTTGGTCACAAGGTGAGTTTTACACAGAGACCTGAGTGAACACGACAACTGGCATTTCAGGCAGGTGGAACAGTGAACACCCAGGCCCTGAGGACAGGGTGCCTGGAAGAGTGGAGAGAGAAGGGATAGATAAGAGGGGTAAAGGGAGATTGGGGGAGGGTAGGGAAAGTAGGAGAGGGAGGGAGAGAGAGAAGGAGAGATAGAGACAGACACACAGAGAGAATTGGTGGTAGAAGGGTAAAATTGTTTATGGCTTTTGTAAAGATGGCAAGTTTGGCTGTGAAGATGATGGGCTCATGGAAGGTTCTGAGAAGCAAAGTGATTGGACATTTTTAAAGAATCATTACAGGGAGATGAGTGATGAGGCCCTGGCAATAGTCCATTCAGAGATGATGGGTCTTGGAGGAGGTGGGTGGTGGGAAGAAGTGGCTAGACTGGAAATATAATCAAGATAAAATGATTCCATAGAGGCGAGAGAAAAATGAAATGAAAGTGATGAATACAATGTCAGTAAAAGTGACAACTGTGTGGAATGCTGCTGACATATTACAAATGAAAAGTGACCATTGGATAAAGGTGACCCTGTCTTTTG